CCTTTAGAACAACCCTCACATGGGGTCTAGGGCGTTGCTTTTGAGCTCTAAACCCGCACCCGCGGCAACCAACCCCTAGATCCGATAGCCAAGGCCCTAGAGCCTAAACCTAAAGAAGGCCCTAAGGCCCTACACCCCAAGGCGCTTCTCCCTTTTCTCGAGTTATCCTCAGGCTGCCGCGGCTCATGCTCTATGAGCTTAAGGCCTATGCGGCCTAGACCCTTCATCTTACTGGTTGATAGGGTTTGGGGTTTAGTAATAGGGCTTAGGGTTTAGGGATGAAGGGATGACAAAGGCAATGGAAACTACTACCTGAGCTACGATCACTAGGACTATGCCATACTACCAAAGGGACCCCTAGGTCCACCCTTAGTAGTGCCTTGGCTCCAGTATTGGGGTCACATCCCTAAACCCGGAAGCCTCCTTGGACTGCAGAGGCGCGACTACAGGGATCCAAGCTGCAATTAATGCTAAACCCCTAAACCCCAAACCCCCAAACCCTAAACCCGTAAATCCTAAGCCCTGAAACCCTAAACCCTAAAACCCTAAACCCTTAAACCTAAACCCTTAACCCTGAATCCTAAACCCTTAGCCCTAGACCCTAAATAGTAGTTTCCGTTTAGCCCTTCAGAACCGAGCCTTGGGTCTGGACGGCGGAAAGCCTGCTAAAGCCTTGGAGAATTGACGAAGAAACAACTGTTAGGGTCTGGGGGTTTCAGGGTCTAGGGCTTTAGGTATATAGGGTTTAGAGTTTGGGGGTCTCGGGGTCTAGGGCTTTAGGAATTCAGGGGTTGAGGGTTTCGGGCTTTAGGACTTAGGGTTTCAGGCTTTAGAGCTTAATTAAGATTTAGGGTTGCAGGGTCAAGGGCTGGAGGATTTATAGGTAGGATCGCAGAGCTGAAAGGGGTTGGGGTTACACTTCGGGTTTAGGGAGGGTTGAGAGCTGTCAGATTAGCCCCCAGCCACTATTCACTATTCCTGGTGGAACAGGAACACAGAGGAACCCAGGCAGAACTACCACCATCCATCTGGTCCAAGTAATGGATCGGAGGATCATCTTCTGGTATCCCCAGTTACCGGCTTATGGATCTAGAGGTGTGGGTTTGGCTGCGGGCAAACCAACATCTGACGGGACTGAAGCCCACTATTCACTGTTCGGTCATACACTGCCTTGCAGAGTCGCAAGCAGACCCATTCTCTAGAGCAAACCCATGTGTGAGGTTCCAGGAAATGGGGATGCAGTCTTGGTAAGCCCGCTTTTGGCGGATAACTTCAGGGACCAACTGTAAATTTGTGGAAAATGCCTTAAAACGTTTTTCTCGGGTGCTCAGAGTGAGTATGAACTCTTCATGAACTCGTATTGAAATTGTGCCGTTGCATGT